ACCATCCATCCATCCATCCATCCATCCATCCATCCATCCATCCATCCATCCATCCATCCATCCATCCATCCATCCATCCATCCATCCATCCATCCATCCATCCATCCATCCATCCATCCATCCATCTTTTCGGCTCACTAAGGTCAGTGGTGCCCATATCCAGCAGTCACTGTGTAAGGCGGACAGCTCTCAAATATCTGGTTTAGACAACAGTGGTTGGGATGCTAAAATATACAGACAATGTAGTAATCTACATGATGACGGAAGAAAGAGATGAGTAAGAACAAGAAATCCTCTTAAGTATAACTTCTATTGCCAATTTAAACTCCAGCTATGATTGCATGTTTTTATCTAACGTTCTTCAGCCCTTCTGTCAAGAACCTGCCACTATGTAAAGTGTTGCTACTCATTAAGCTTTACAAAATGTATATAACCTTAAATAAACAAATAAAGGATTGAATACAATCCACCTTCATTTTCAGATTCTGTCACATACACATAATACATTTATTGTATAAAACACATGGGACGGTCTATGTGGACGGTCTTGTCAACTAAAATGTGCTTGGAGTGCTCAATAAGCCCAGATTAAGTAGATGCAGACTGCATATAATTTCATCCCTTTCTTCTCCCAGTTTGCCCTACTTCTTGTTTTTGCACATCATTTATACAAAGTTTGTTGTCTAAATAATTTTTTTGTAATGCAAGTGGAGGGCTAAATGAAAATTGTACTGGCATACAGATACAGTTTTTTAGGGGCACACTTCAGAAGTGTCAAGAGTGCTATGCTAGTGAAAAAAAAAATCCCACATATCTAAATAAAAAAATAGGATAACTCCATGAAATGTAATTCTTTATTACAAAGCAGCATGAATTAAAACAGAATTCCTCCTTTACAAGAAGGGAGTAGGAAGGCTCACACAAGCTACAAGAGTCAACTGTTTAAGGCAGCTTTGACAGCAATAGACTTTATACATATGCACACACACACACACACACACACACACTTTGAGTTCTTCTGAAGGGCTGCCATGTCAACATGTCAACTGTCAACTATCATTCGCTCACACATGCTGTGCTGTAAAACTGTGTCAGCAGGGCAAAGAGGAGCAGTGGACGAAGCGTAACTGTGTGAGTTTGTGTGTGTTGTCCTCCACTGGGAGCTGCACACTCACGATATCTGCCTCCTGCTCTCAGAGTTACAGGATCAGGTGTGAATATCTGCTCCACTTGTGGTCTCACAGTTTATCCTCTCGCCTGTCTCGCACTCGTAGGGAACGATGCGATTTTTAATGGACTGGATCAGTTATTCCTTACTTTTTGCTCCCTCCAACCTTCTCTAGGTGGTACTTTCTTTATTCTTTAATAAACTGAGTTTGCTTACATATGTTACCTCTGCCGTTAGTGTGACATTTCAAACCCTAAATTGCATTAAAATCACAAAACGTTTTTACCCATTTAACTTAATTTTAATCAGCTTTGAGGTCCAAGTCCTCTTTTGATTGGGTAGATAAAGCACATGCTTTCAGCTGTAATTGCCACTCTGGTTGGTTTAAATAACTACTGCACATTTGGTACACTAATAAACATTATTTTATTTACACTATTTCTGTCATTTTCCCTTCACTTTGTCTCTGTAAAGCATTTAAAGGGACTAATGTTTGTCTTTTGAATAACTTGAACAGATTGATGAAGCCAGTAGTCACACATCTTATGTACAAAAGGCACAGGCCAGTACAAAGTACCTTATATAGTGGTTACATGTTATTTTTAATGGGGTAACCTTTCAACCTTTCTTTATTGCTTACAGGGATCTTTCAGGAAAATATGGGCCCACAGGCATTTATCAGCTTACTTCCTCAAACATGTTATTCTCCATGTGGTTGGAACCATATTAAATAAGCCGGAACACGGCCAAATCGCGGATGAATTTTAAATTAGCGAAATGTTTCTGCAGCAGTGAAGGAGTTTTAAATCATTTAAGACGTCTGTGGTGGGGAATGGGGATTTGGCACTCTCATTGTTCCTTCTCTGACCTTTCAATGGGAAGCAGTGAGACAAGTTTTCTCAGACCTGTGTGCCAAATAACACACTGAGCATCATGTTTATTAGTCGTTTTCTGTCCTTTTCTGCAGAAGTCTGATCATGGCCAAGTGCTGCTGGACGTTGTTTTTAAGCACCTGGAGCTGACCGAGAGAGACTACTTTGGCCTGCACTTGGCTGATGACACCTCAGATTCACCGGTTAGTAGTCCGTTTTCAGTGTGCACAGTCTGTGTGTGTTTGTAAGATTTTAACAACGTTAAATGGGTTCCAGGAACAAAAGAGTGCGTATGCGTTTATGTCTAATTATATATATATTCATCAGTATAATCAAATTGGCCCTAAATAAACATCAGAACTCACTCATTTACATGAAAATGTTTTTTAGTTCCAAGGTTTTTTAGACTATAAGAGAAAATTGGGTCCTTACCAGGTTTTAAAATGAGGTAAATGTAACTTCAAATGAAGAGCATTGCACGACCAACAATGTTTTAAACGCTAATTTAAAATGCAAAATCTTTGTGAAAAGTAAGGAAGACCTCTAGACTTAAAAGCTCGTGAAAACATTTTTAGTATTTCTAGGAGTAATTGTTTTAGCATGTCCTCTACAGCAGGGGTTCCCAACTCTGGTCCTTGAGGAACACCATCCTGCATGTTTTAGTTGTTTCTCGGCCTCAACACACCTGATTTTAATTAATGGGTAATTAACAGGCTTCTGCAGAGCACGAGGAAGGAATTAAATCACTGAATAAGGTGTGTTGGAGCAGGGAAGCAACCAAAACATGCAGGATGGTGTTCCTCAGGGACCAGGGTTGGGAACTACTGCTCTAGAAGGTCGCTTCAGTTTATTGATTACAATACCTACATTTGTTTTTGAATAGCTCTTCATAATCGTGCATTTTAATTTAATTGAGGTTTGGACTGGGCAATTAGAACACCTTTATTCTTTCCTTTTCCAGCAACTCTGCTGTAGATTTTCATTGGTGTCCAGTTGCATCGTGGCCCATTTTGGGGCCAAGCTTTAGTTGCTGGACAGATGGACTCATGTTTGAATCTAGATTACTTTGGTCAACAGAGGAGTTCATGGATGAGAGCAATGAGAGCAAATGGCCAGGTTCTATGGCTGCAAAAAACGTTCAAATCATCAACCCTGTCCTACTATAATGATCGCTGGTATGAGGTGTTTGTGCTGATATGCGTGGTCTGGTTTTCTCCAGACATGTTCACTGTGGTCTCAACTGGCCAGTGAAGGTTGTTACACAAGTCCTATAGTTCATTCAGATGCAACTTTGCAAACCCAAGTTGTGCTGCCAAAATTATCTCTAAAGAAAAACATTTGTTGTAAATCCCTATTCATTTCATTATTGTTTTTACTGTCATTTTTTTAAACATTTGACATGCTAACTGATGTGTTAAGATTTAAATATTTATTTTAAATGATTTGTCTTGACCACAGGGTGACCTTTTCTGGGATGATGCATGCAAAAGTCCAATTAATTTATATGACAAGTAAAAAAAGCATGAGAAAAATAAAGTGTCTGTATTGGTTTTCATCGCTGTTAGCCCTCCTGACAGGTTTCTGTGTTTGTGATCACTAGTGAATAATTTAGACTTTGTGTTCATGCTTTATGACTCTAAATGTGTCTCAAATCAATATTTTACAGCGCTGGCTGGATCCCAATAAGCCCATCAGGAAACAGTTGAAAAGTAAGTGACATCCACAACACGCTGCCTTAATATCTCCACTGCCGTAGAACCAAACAGAACTAAGATCTTTCAAACCTTAACCATGGCTGAACGGTCTGTAGCCTCGTCTCAGCAACGGTTAACAATCCAGACTTTTACCCCCAGCATAAGTCTACAGTCTAAACTGCCATTCACTATTCTGAATATTCCTCGAGCAATGATTGAACTTTATTTCAACTCTGCTCTTTTTTTTTTTTTTTGATAATGAGTAAAAGTGTTTGTAACATGAACAATTAAGGAGTAGCTCGAGTGAAGCCAGCAGTTCTCCTCCAGCAATAATTGAACTGTGCTTCAACTCAGTTTGCTTGCCGGTTGACTGGATCAGTAAAAACACCAGTATTTTTTTTTGTTTCACACAGATTGAGACAGATCTGTGGTATAAATCTAGATTTTGAGATTACACTTTTAAGTCTTTCAGTAACTTATATAGTAACGTTGCAATGTTTCCTATATAATCTATTAAAATTACAAGCTTAAGCATTTGTTATGCACCAATATTTTTTAACAAAACTGTTCATAATCATTCTTCCAGGAGGGTCTCCACATACTTTGAGCTTCAGAGTCAAATTTTTTGTGACCGACCCAAATAAACTTCAGGAAGAGTACACGCGGTAAGAGTTGATTTCTTCCTTTAATGTTGTCAGCACGGTGCTGTAAGACGGGGGTTCTCAAACTTGTTGGGTTCATGGACCCCCTAAAGGGGACAAAACGTTTCAGGGACTCCCTTATAACCCTCATGTTTATTAAATAGTTTTCTTCAATTTGTCTCTTTAATTCAATGGAAATATATGTGTACCATAAATACTTGAGACCTGTTCTTTAATAGTGTTAATACAATTTTTATACGTTTAAACATGGGGTATTTTTCATTCAAGACACAATTAACAAACTTTTTTAATTTCAACTTCCAAAAGTTACAGTTTTGAGAAAATTAACAGGATCAAAAACCACTTTACAACTTTACCTGTTCACTTAATGAAGATTACTGTATTGTCATTTCAAATTATTACAGAAAACTCTTTACATAAACCTGATTAGAATCATAACAGAAGTAGTCATACCAAATAACAGGACTTAATTTGTAAACCAATCGATGACGGAATGCAAATAGTGGGCAGTCTGGTGACGGTGGTGGGAGTGGGGAGTGTCTGGGGGTCTCCCCCAGAAAATATAGAATAAAGTAGATGTGATTTTTATTTTTTTCATTTTTGTGTATTTTAATAGGTAGTTTATATATATATATAATATTATTTTTATATTTATTATTATTTTCCCGGGGGTCCTGAGTCCCCGGTTTGAGAACTACTGTTGTAAGAAATGCTGTCTTTTTTAGTTTTGTTTAGCTTTTTTATATTGCTTCATCTTCATCACAGTGACCCCCCCCACCCCACACACACACACACACACACACACACACATTTGGGTCACCAACTATTTTTCAATAATTGCATCCAAGTGAGATACTACAGTTTTTTTTCCTTCTAATTCTTCATGTTGTTTTGTGCAAAATTATGTTTAATCTCTAACAGCTTTGCATCAGAATTTTCTTGTTAAAAACAACTAAAATACAACCTTTCTTAAATGATCTCAACCCGTTGTTTTTGCCTCCACTCAGGTACCAATATTTTCTCCAGATCAAACAAGATATATTGACTGGAAGGTGAGTTTGAAGTCCAATGAATTTGATATTGTTTAATCTTTGTCCATCACTCTGCCTTATAAAACCAAGACTTGTCAGATATGACAAGAGGAGTACAAGTTTATAAACACACATTTTTGCAGATCTGCATTCATATTACATAGTCAAAACAAGTTATATGTTCTTTAAAGGAGAACTTAACGATTTTAAATACTGACTTGTAGTTGAATCATTATTATTTCTGCTTCGTTATTGGCTAATGTTTGTTTGTTCCTGCTATTTCCAGATTGCCCTGTCCTCACAACACTGCTGCACTGCTGGCGTCCTATGCAGTTCAGTGTAAGTAGTGCTCCCCGGATACAGTCGTTTCACATAAGAATGGAAAGGCGATTCATTAGGGCTCACTTTAGCTGTGCACACTGTTAAATGTAATGACTGTGGTTGCTGGGGTGCATTTACAACTGCTGCTCAGACGCCATGGCGATACAGTTTCAACTATGTGGTGAGATTTTACCATCAGTAACATAAATATTAAATGAGATGTTTGGTTTTGTTTTTTTTCTTAAAGTCAACCTTTAATGGTCAAATAATGTGCAGAAGCAAATCAATAGGAGAAAGGTTTACTGAACCGCTCAGTGGACGTTTGGTTTAACAAGACTTGTTTACAGTGCCGCCTTTTTTAAATGGCTGCTCAGATTTATAAGGGTAGTGATTTATTCTTGACACACTTCCTAATCAGTTAGACCCACCCTAAATGAAATTTAGTTTACACAAGTCAGGCAGAAAATCTGTGTAAAATATAGTTTAGGCTTTTTTTCAACACCCCATTTTATTTACTGCGACTACAAACTGCTTAAACCTCACTATTAATTGTCAGGTTAGAATAATTAACAACAGTAAAGGTACATCAGAACAACAACAAAAGATTATCCACTGGTCAGGAGGATTAATAGTTTTACATTTGTTGTGACTTTAGATAATTAATTGTGTGAATGTTTATGAAGCATTCACACTATTGTGATCCATTTCTCTTCCGTATGTTTTTCAGCATCTTGTTCCACAATTTTTGTGCTATTTCAACACATCATACATCAGAACGTTCAGCTCTTTCAGGATACTTTTTTCTATACTTTTTTGCTATGACTTTTGGTATTGGTGCAACTTTAGCTTTTTGAAATATTTAGCCTTTTCTGACTTTTTTTTTCATAGAAAATGAACTGAGCTCATTTTACATCCTTCAAATCTTTAGATGTGTTTACAGCCTTTACTGCTCCGTTCCCATTTTGTTTTGGTGCAGCTTCTTTCAGCTTCTTTGTGCAAATTTAAACATTTTTCAGCTTTTTTCAGCTGTTCTTTCAGCTGTTTTGTGATCCTTTCAGATTCTGTCTGCTAACCACAACATTTTTGTGCTTCTTCTAATTTCTTTCTGCTAATTTCAGCTTTTTCTGCTGTTTCAGTTATTATTTATCTGTTTTTATGCAAATTTTAGCATTTTCAGCTAATTCCACAATTTTTGCACTCATTTCTACTTTTTTCAGCCTAATTCAGCAAAATTGTGCTTTCTCGACTTCCTTCTGCTAATTTATGCTTCTTTCTACTTTTTTAGCTATTATTCAGCTGCTTGTTTTTTTTTGTTGTTGCTAATTTCTTCTTTTTTTCAGATTATTTCCACCTTTTTGTGCTCAGTTCTGCTACTTTCAACCTAATTGGGCAAAAATTATGTTCTAGCAACGTCCTTCTGCTTATTTAAGCTTTGTTCTGGTTTTTTTAGCTACTTTCCAGCTGTTTTGTGCTCATTTGTGCTTATTTAAACTAATTCAACAAATATTTTTCCTTCTGCTTTCTTCTACTGATTTAGACTTGTTCTTCCATTTCTGCTATATTACAGCAATTCTTTTTTATTTTTTTAATTTTTTTTAGCAAATTTCAGCTGTTTTTCAGCAAGTTCTTAAGCAATAATCATTCACACTGCATTTTCGTAGGAAATGCAATTTCTCTAGTTGATGCTACCCGTCACTCTGTGGAAGAAAGGCCAGTTTCAAACAAGTTTTTGTTTATTATTCTACTTTAAGAAAATATATTCACATTTGGGACACTGAAGATTGATCATTTCTTTTGGAACTGATGTCCTAGTTAGTCTCAATTAGAGGTCAGACTTGTCAGCCTTCAGATAGTGTTTAATGTTAAAGTTCAGGGCAGTACAACATCAAAAAAAGACTAAAGAATTATGGCTTTTTGGAAGTATCACCTGAAGTTAGCCTGTTCTTTTGTGAAAATAAAGATATAAATAAATAAATCATGTGCTTAAGTTTGTAAAGTTATTTATGAACAAACCACACCAACACCTGAGAAAATGTCCTTTAAACAGACAAAATCATTTGGACACGTTTGACCATAAAACTCAGCCTAATGTTTGATGAAACCCAAGCTCAGCACAAACACCTGTTAGCACCGTGGTAGAGGGCTGGAGATTTGGGCCTGTTTTGAAAGCAGAACTTGGACACTTTGCAGTGAGTGAAACTCTTCTGTACGCCCAAGTTTTCTTTAGTCAATATGTGTGGCCATCTGTCTGATAATTAAAGCTTGGTACAAACTAGGTCATGGTGCAACAAGATGACAATCCCAAACACAGCAGCACATTTATAACAAAATGGCTGACTGAGATTCAACGTGTTGGCGTAGCTCAATAAAATTCCCTACTTCTTCCTGAACAAAATGTTGGGAAGATCTGTGGATCGCAAGAAAAATAGACCATAATTGTAATAAGTTAATTTAAAAAAAAAGTGAATACAATTCGGTTTTCTTCCTTTAAAATCTAAATTATAGAGCCTGCAACTGTTAGGGGACTTGTTACAATGACTCAATGGATTTGTAAACTTACATTTATGAATAGGTTTGTAAGTTGCTGACAAAGCTCAGTTTGTTTTCACTTGGAGTTTACGGTAAATGGCTTTGTCTTCTGGATAGTGACTCATGACACGGCAATCGTGGTCTTACATCCCTTTTCTTTTAAATAGCTGCCTATTATTTTTATGCCTGCTTCTTTTCTTAATAACTTCTTATTTATTCCATCTAATATTGTCCCTGGCTCCTCCCCCTTTGCCCCCCCCCCCCCCGCCCCCTCCCTTTCTTCTTGCTCTTGCCACCCCCTCCTGTCCTCCTGTGTGATGTTTTGCAATGAATCTGTACAGCCTCAGTAAATAGGTCAAACAAGAGATTTGACCTAGACCATCAACACCCTGACCCTGCAGCTTTTATGCTTCCACACACACCCACACACAACCACACACACACACACACACACTGTTGCTTGGGTGATGCTGTCACTTCTCACAGTGCCAGCACAGATTATGGAGATAAATGTTTGCTTTGAGCGGAATAAAATCGGCTCGAAGCAGCTGCTACGCTGCTAATTTAGTTCAAGTGCGGCTGAGTCTGAACCTCAAACTAAAGCTTGCATTCATAAAAGATCATACATCCCTTCTGATTGATGAAATTCTGGGTTTATAATAAATTAAATCCGCAATTTTCTCCTCAGAAGGACAACAGTTTAAATCCAGAAATACTTTGATGCTCTTTCTCTTGGTGCTCCCCTACAGTTACAACACATCTTTATTTTTATATTTTTCTTTGCCTAATGTATCCGACCCGTTGACCAATGCCATCATAACAAGATGCTCAGTCTTGGTCACCTGTTGTTTTAATGCTGCGGCTAAATCGTTTATGTTCCTGATGCTGTGGAGACATCAATAAGCATCTGAGCTGCAATTGATTTGTTGGTCAATATGCTTAGGCTACCAGCTTGTAGGTCAGTCAAGGGACTACTTGAGCGAATTGATGGCTTTAAGCTTCAACTGCAAGCGAGCGAGTTAATTGTATCTGCTTTTATCCCTTCATCCCAGTGGTTTCTGATAATTATGAGGACGTTTAATTTTTTTTTCTTGTGGTTGTTGTCCCCATATACTTGTGTTCATTATCATTAAATACAATTTATATATTAGTACTGATCTTTTTGTTTGCACCATTGAGAAAATGTTGGGATATGTGTTTTATGCCCGCAAAAGTGCCATTTGTTGAGGCTGTAGAGAGTAAAAATGTATAAAATCACCTTGGTACGATGTATATCATAGTCGTATGTGATCTGGTAAAATCTGGTAATTCGGTTGTGCCCCCTGCACCCCCAGCTGCCTGCGCAGACGTCATATCCACTTTTAAATACATTAATACCATCATAATAAATAACACAGTGTTTTTGCACTATTTGATTTAATCCTCTGCTGTTGTCACAAAGCTTTAATCCCAAGTACACAGTGTCATTAGAAACAGTTTCTTTTTAGAAAATGCTCCTTTAATTCTCTGCAGAAAAGTGTGAGGACATTTGCACTGATGGTTTTTTCTTTAGTCACATCTTTGAGTAAACAACCCACGCCACAAAGAGAGATTACTCACGGACCAACAGATGTTGCAACAAAAGCTGTGGTTTGGTGTTAATGCAGAAAAGTCTGTGAGGGATGTAAATAGTCGCCACTAGCTTAACGTGTTTATATTCCAAGCTGTACAAATATATTATTGCATATTTGCTACAATTCTGATATAAGCATTAGATTATAGCTGATTATTATTTAGCATGTATTTGATGACTAGTCTTACACCTGGTTTCTTAAAAAGATATACAGTAGTCCCTCATTTATCATGGGGAATCTGTACCCTGAAGCCCCG